TATGATGGTTACTATGATGGTAACTATTATGGTACATATGATGGTAAGTACGATGGCAAGTATGATGGTAAGTATGATGGTAAGCATGGTAAGTTTTAAGATGAAGGATGATGACAAGTGTACAAGTGTATCGAGAAGGATGAGAGGAAGGGTTATTACTACAAGCACTATCATAATGGCGAGAAGCAGGACTAAAGGGGGTATGGCATGAAGTGGAATGAGAAAGGGCACGATAAGAAGCAGCACAACAGCCGCAGGACGATGAAAAGAAGTATGACGAAAAGAGCTACGACGAGAAGAACAAGCACAGGAATTTCAGTGATTATGAGGGTGAGAAACTGGAAGAGTGACAAGAAGAGCAACAGAATTTAGAGTGAAAAGTCTGATTGCATGAACACATTGAGCGATGCTTTACTTTCACGGAGGATGCAAAGTGTACAAGAGATGGCGACAATGACATTCAGGATGATGGACAAGCTTTTCTCTAGCAGCTTTTACATGGTAGTGGAACAGGGATCATCGCCAAAGCCACCAGACATAAACTGCATTAAACAGAAGACAAGCTTGACTTGCTCATCCTGTGCTGCGAGGACAGCAGAAAAGGGTAATTTTAAATAACTGTACAACGCAAGCAGATATTTCAAAAATATGGATTCCGTTCGCTTCCTTCTGGCATCTACAAGTGAGTGTGGGTAGTTTGTACCTTCTCATGAAACTGATTCATTGCAGTCAAATGTATGGCTTCAGCTTTGCTTGGTTGTGTTGTTCTTATTGACGGCAAGTGGACTATAAAACCTTATGACAGGGTTGCTTTGTTACGGACTTGCCCCATTCATCTCATGCTTTCCCATCCTTTGCCATRGTGAKATCGGTAGCACGGGTAGCCTTGTTTTCTTTCCCCCCTAAACAAAAAGGACCTTATGGGCTGGCTCCGCATCTGTTTGGGGAGCATCAGTCTGGTTTCTTCTCCATAGAACATTTCCATGTTTCTTTCCTCCAAAGGACCTGTGAACACAACTGACAGCTCCGTGTCCCGGATGATTGACTGTCAGCTAGGCTTTCCTTCTTGGGTCACTCTCAATCTTGCCAGGAATGCCAGATTTGCTTGAAACCAAGATGCTGACGTGACAAAGCTCCTTTTGMTCGTCCTTCCGGTGTTGAGGATGTGTTCCCCTCGTACATTCCACTCTGCCTTGTCTTTATGGACAGCCAGATCTGCATGATAATGCTAGTACTGGTCAGCCAACCACTTTTTTTTTTGTTTTTATTAACACCTGCTGAAACTGCTAGGCGTGGTGATAAGACTGCCCACTCCTAGCAGCTCTGCTGGTGGCTCCCTTCTATTGGTGGGGAGTAGCACCTGCAGCAAAGCCGGTCCAGCGTAATCCTTCAGTTTGTAGATTGTGGGCAACGTCTTCAACCCTTACTGGAGGGCCAGATATTCTATGCAACCAAGCTGTTCYACACCTTGCTAAAAATAGAATTGGTCTGAGATCTGTTCACCTTAATCCTACCCCCTCACCTTAATCCTTGTAATTAGATTACTATCAAATCAAACAAAAGGCTGGGGCTAGCCAACAAAAGGATCTCATTCAGCTTGACCAAACCTTGTAATCATACTGCCGTTAAATCAAACCAAGGCATCCAGTAATATATAGAAAGAAATGATCACCTGTTGCCCTCTCCTTCCCTCTCTTATCCAAATCGCTGTAATCTCTTCTCCTTAGAAAAGCAGCGGGTCGTCTCGCGAGATGGCCCCAAATGTATTGCCAGCCTCCCTCGTCGGGTTCCCATCCTGTGTTCCAGCCGCGCTCTCTTTCCGCCCGCGTGCTATCGATCCCCTGAGTAATCCGGTGGACTATGGTCGGGCGGCGGGAATCTCGGAGAGGCCTTTTCCATGGCGCGGTGGGCCGGCGGGAACTTCCGAGAAGCCTTTTCCATGGCGCGGTGGGTCGGTCTGTTGTTGGCGGGCTGGGGGCCATTGTTGTGCCAGGCCCGGAGGAGAGGCGGCTGATCCGAGTCAGACCCAGACTGTGAGTCGTGCGAGCGGGAAATGAGTGAGTGAGCAAGCGCGTGTGAGAGAAAAGCAGAGAGAGAGGGAGAGAGAGCTTCATAGTGGTAGAGTAATCCGATAGGAGGTAGTTCTAATCAGCAATAATTGACAGGTGTGAACGAGAAGATGGGTGAGGAAGTCTGTGACGCGGAGGGCATGTGCGGAGATGGTGAGAGAGAGAGAGAGAGAGAGAGAGGAGATGGACACACACGAGAAGCAGCAGCTGAGTGAAGGTCCAGTCCGGCTCAATGAACGAACGAACAATTGAATGAATGAACTAACTGACTGTCGGACCTGGGCCTAGGCCGAAGTGATATACCGGCCTAGGTCCAGGTACGGGAACAACCTGGTACCGGACCAGGGTGAGGCCGACGGCCTGAAACTGGTCCGGTCTCACACCTGGGCCGAGGGGTACCACTACACGATCCTCGGACCTGTGAATGGATCAAGCGATACATCAAACACGCTATCCGTTGAAATAGCGGAAACCCAAAAGGAACGGCAAAGGAAACTATCCTAGATGCGGAGCAAGCTCCATGCAGGAAAAGAGATGCAATGCAAACAGCCTCAAGCCTAATCTATGCAACAATGTCCGGTCTGAGTCGACCCGAAAAGCAGAAAAATGTTTGACCTGTGTCGGCCAAGAAAGAGAAAAATGTATGATTTGTGTCGGCCAAGAAAGAGAAAAATATCTGACCTATGTCGGCCAAGAAAGAGAAAAATGTCTCATGAGCCAAAGAAGTTGAATATAAATCAACATCAGGGCTATAAAGGCAAAAGAATAACTAAACCAATGTCCTTAGTCGAAAAAGAATGTGGCACAGTCTCACGTGCCATGTACACAATGCACAATACTTGAACAAAAGAGAAGGGAACTCAACCGCATGGCAGAGGTAGAAATGGGTGGGAAGGCGGCAGGTACAGCTCTCAAGGTAAACTACAAGGGGGCACCCACACAGCCAGGTAAGGGTCATCAGGCTCAGAGGGAGATTAACAACACGACACCGGGCTCAATGGAAACCATCAAACGGGTATCGCCAGCTGAAAGGGGGAAGGGCACTCACACAAGGGAGCACACATAAGTTGAGCCTGGAAGGAGAGAGGGCTATGCCGGCATAGACATGTGGCCAAAAGCCGCGAGCGAGGAAAACGTATACTCCAGAGGAGGGCGCGCAACATACGGTAAGGTAGAAGGGCGGCAGACGGACACACCTACATAAACAGGGAAAATAGGGGTCATCATGCGACTGAAGGGTAAGCTCGAGGGTGGTGGATAGGTGGGAATGATGGGAACTCTGTAGCCGAAAAAGTGTAGTCCAACTGATGAGTCTCCAAATTGAAGTTGAACCGAAGTAGCCTGGATGAAGTAGGAGTACCACAAGAACCGAGTAGAAGTCCGGAACAATGCGACAGGTACTCTGGTACTGAGGAGAAGCACCGAGGTCGAAAGTCGAATGTAGAAGTCGAATGTAGAAGCTGAATGTAGAAGCCGAAATTGGGAGCTGCTGCATAAATGTCCATGAATGGTAAAAGATAGAGAGCGTATAGGGGGTATAGATCAGTCACGATAACGAGAAGGAAGTCGATGGTACGTTGAGGGCAAGAGGAATCAACTGGGCAGAACCACATCCACAGGGGAAGAAGGACCTGAGGCGGGTACCGGTGGAACAGGAGGACCCATCGATGGAGGAGGGGGAATGCTAGTGGTCGCTGAGGTAGATGGGTCAATGGGAGGACGAGAAGTAGGAGGGGATGACGATGAAGGGAAAGGGTGAGCACGATCGTAAGCACGCACGAAAGTCATGGCATGTTTCAGGTGCTCGAGAGGCTCACAAGTAGACTCCTCGTCAGGATAACCCTTCCATCGAACGAGATACTCCAGGCGGGGAGGGTCGTCATCAGTCATACGCCTGGACGCGATATCAGAGATGACAAACTCCTTGTGACCCTCAATGATGATGGGAGAGGGGCGAGGGTAAGGTCGACCGTGGAACTCGGGAGGAGACCGTCTGAAGGGGCGCAAAAGAGATACATGGAACACGTCATGTAATTGAGCGCGGTACATGGAATAGGGGAACTTCAATTTGAAGCTCACCGGACAGTCATGATTGGGTCCGACGGGTGCAAGAAGGGTGCATGGTCTGATATATCGACGTCTGAATTTCCGAAGCGTGTCAGCTTCGGGCTGGAAGTGACGTGCGTCGACAAGAACCTTGTCTCCAACTTTGAAGGGATGGTCGATGCGAGAGCGGTTAGCGCGAGTGGCCATGCGAGCCTGGGAGTCAGCAATGCTCTCGCAAGCCTTGCTAAGAAGCGCATCCATCTCCTTTATCCAGTCATCGAGGGCAAGGCATTTGGTGTCCGGATGGATCTGAGATGGACGGAGAAGGTCAGATGGGACACGAGGATGGTATCCCAAGTCACGGTAGTAGGGAGACATGCCAGTGGCAAGTGAAATAGCATGGTTATAAGCAATCCCTGCGTGAGCAAGGTGGAGATCCCAATCAGTCATTCTCAACAAACTTCTTGAGGATACTCCCAAGAGTTTTGTTGGTGACCTCAGTCTGTCCATCTGACTGGGGGTGATAGGAGGAGGAGAGGCGGAGCTCGAAGCCATAGATCTCATGGAGTCCACGCCAGAAATGAGAAGTGAAGCGGGGATCGCGATCAGAGACGATGCTAGTAGGGAGACCGTGATGAATGGCAATATGGTTGAAGTATAGGGAGGTGATGTCTTTGGCTGAACTAGCATACT